TGCTGCAACTTGAGCCCATTGCTCCATGTCCTGTCATCTGCCCCCACTGAGAACAGTCTAGCTCCATCCTTTTTGCACCTGCCATGCAGGGAGTTGAAGGCTGCTATCCAATTACTTCTCAGTCCTGGAAACATACAGTTCAGGAAAGTTATGTCAGGGGCTATTATAAAAAGAGAAGAAAGAAAGGAAATGAAAGAGGATCTGACAGAATCATTATTAAATGTTTAAAAAGGAAATTGAAGGTCAATCAGACTAGCTGTTTGTGTGAATAGCACATCACTGTTTGAATTGCAGGGTTAGATGTCAGGGCAGTGCAGCCTTGGAAAAAATGGCAGAACACTTCTTATTTTCCATTCTACTTCTTTCACCTGCTAGATGTCACAGATGTCTTTTAGCTCTTCCTGTAACACAGCTGAAAAGACCAAAAGTGATGAAAAATGCATATTCATTAAGCTCAGAAAACCTTCCAGAAGTGAACAAATTTCACAGCACAAACAGAAAAATAATTTGATTGAGACGGCTCTTTCTGTACTAATTGCATCTTTCCATAGATCTCCAAGTATTGCTCATTTATCTGGTTGCTTTTCTCAGCCAGTGCTTCCTCTCTTCAGTTATTTGGTGTCCTTTGGTCTTTTGGATATATATTTTTGTGGGGCAAATCAGAATTTAATAACCAGTGAGCGGTGGAACCATAGAGCCATGATTGTGATCAGAGAATAAATGTGTAATCCTTTCTCAGGACCCTACCCTTCACCAGAGTACTTAGAGCAGCAAGTTCCACAGTTAGGCTCACACTGTAATAAAAGAGGTTTCAGTTTTACTGTAAAGCAGCTCGTCTGATTGAGTGCCCTCTTGTGCTCGTCTTAAGTGAAGTGACAAAGAAGATCAATAAAAAGCTGTTGTCGACGCTGTTCATTAATCTTATCTTTTTGTTACAGTATACTACATTTTATGCACTTGGACATAAACGAGCTTTTTGAAACCCTGTGGAAACAGCTAGGTGCTAGCAAATCCGTAGACTTGGAAAGTGCTGCTTTAGTTAGATGGGTACTTTAGCCAGTGCCGCTTTAGCCAGATGTGTGCTGCTTTAGTCAAATGGGTGCATTAGCCAGATGTGTGAAAAAAGGGCTTGATTTGTATTGGGTTTTGAAAGACTATTCCAGACATGTCTGCAGAAGCCCAGAGGTGGAACTGCTAACATTTACACCCGTGGCCAGCCTTTACCCATTGCCAGGAATAGCCATTGCTATGGGGACAGGTGACAACGCAGCCAGCACCCAGCACCCAGGGGTTAATGGACCTGCTTGCCCCAGCCTCTCTCTGCCAAGTGATGTAGCCAGTGAATTCTGCTGGCTGTACCGATACGTCCAACACCTGAGCAACTATCTGGGCTGTTAGGAAACAGTCAGCTTCTGGCCCCTTTACCAAGTGGTATGGTGAGAGACGTGCCCCCTCTGAGTCTGTTCTGGTAGCCCCTTAGTCAGTGCCTGGGGCTTGTGCCCCATTTGCCCCCTTCTAGTTATGCTACTAGAAGCCACTTTGGAAACAACTGTACATGGATATTTGGAAGTGGGGATTGCACCGAGATTGTCATGGATGAGGGGCTGATGGCACCTGGCCACACTATAATGTTGTATCGCTGCTGCCTCTTATTAATGGTACATAGTAAACTTCAGCAAGAGGCAAGAGGCCTCCAGATGTACCATGCAGTAGAAAGGTGAGGTACTGCCTGTCTGCTTTTGGGGTTAGTTTTACTTGAGTCTTGAGTCTTTAAACCCCTTTTTGAGAATTAAAACTGCACTATAGATCTTAAAGCTGGAAGGAGCCACTGTAGTTATCTAGTGTGATCTCTAGCACAAGGTTCCTGTGTATAGCCCATGATTTCAGGGAGACATCCAATCTCAGTTCAGTTTTTAAGAGACAGAGAGTGTACTGTCTCCCCTGTGGATCTGTTCCAGTGGTCAGTTACCATCACTTTGGAAATTTCCGTCTTATTTCTGGTTTGAATTAGGATGGCCTCTGTTTGTAAAACTAAAAAAATTGCAGAATATCTCTATCCCTAATGCTGTTAACCTCCATGTGTCATTTAACAGGCAGGAATGCGTGGAGCAGCTCTTGAAGAACATGTTTGATGGAGACCAGGCTGAAAACTGTATAGTGAATGGAACTCAGATTTTATTAACGTTACTGGAGACAAGGCGCTCTGGGTAGGTGAACCCCTCTCGGCGGGAAACACTCAATGCTGGTAATCTGGTTTGACTTTGTGGGGGTTTTGGAGGGGGTTTGGTGTGTTTGTTTTTGAGAGAGGCAGCTCCCAAAACATTTTTAGGGGTTGCAAAAATAGATGCAGCTGGAAAAGCTGCTTTAAATGTAATGGTTGTACTTAAAGACAGCCAGTTGAGATCAGGGCCACTCTGCTAAATGCCAGGACATAGACACAGAAGGGAGACATTGTCCTTGAACCAAAGAGATTGGAGTCCGAGTCCAGGCAGGAAGGTGGGGGCAGGGGTATATCACACCCACTCCAGGTGGTAGTGGGCTGGTGGCTCTTTAGTTCCAGTTCTCTGTTTTTTAAAATGTATTCCTTTATTTTGCAAGGGGGGAAGAACGACCAGAAAGGAAGGATAAGTAGAAGCAAGAGAGTTGCGTTTGGGAGTGCAAGGGTAATAAGGCAGGACTGGGAGACTGGGGCTATCTGAAGATGGGGAGAGGGAAGAAAGTAGGGTGGGCAGTCAGCGAAGGGAAAATCATAGGCCGTGTGCAGACGAGCGGGTTTGTGCGTTTCCCCAGGGACAAGTAGCAGTGGCATACCTTGTGCCACTCTTGCCTGTCCCCAGGAAATGCCCATGCCACAGCCACTCTGGCACATGGTACGTGGCCCTAACAGCCTTACCTGGGGGCCTCTGGGAGCTGTAGCCATGGAACTCCTGCAGCAGGGAGCCTGGCTGACATTTGGAGCATGGCTTCGGCTTGCCAGCCTCTGTTTTTGAGCAGTGCGCGCTGCTGTCACATGCGCTGCCCTACTTTTTTTGGTGTGGGTTTTTTTGACCTTGGGATCTCCACAAAGTAGCAGCATGGGGAATGCCTGCATGTGCGGTGTGGGGCGCTGCAGACAGATCTGCAACGCCGCATACCACATGTCTGTGCTTGTCTGGACATGGCCATAGAGTCCTAGAGCAGTGAGGCTGGAAGGGAGCTCTGGAGGTCGTATCTAGTCCAACCCCTGCCTGAGGCAGAATCAGCTTTGTTCATGTCATCCCAGACAAATCCACAATCTAACCTCTCTGTAAAACTACCATCAACCCTGAGACCACAGCAGACATCACACCCGAACCTGCCTCAGAGAAAGCAGGAGGACCATGGCAGCCAGCTTCCTGCTGCTGCAAGGGGTGTTCATATATGCTCCAGAAATACCAGGAAGAGACTGTGCCCCTGCTGTAGAGAAAGGCAAACCCCCCAGTCTGGGCCCAGAATTCCTTCCTCACTCCAAATGCAGTGATCAACCTGACCCTGAGCAGAGGGGCAACAGCCTCTAGCCAGGAACATCCAAGTTCAAGTCCCAGCAGGAGCATTGGCCCAGCCCAGTCCGAACTGTGTCCAGAACAGAAATTCTCCAAATGCTACGCAGCCAGGGCCTGCACTGATTTGAGAGGGCCAGGGCTCCCATGGGTTCTGCCCGGCAGTTGCACGTAGTAGGCTGAAGAGGAAGAATGCTTACGACAGCGTGACCGGCAGACTGCTAATAGTGCATGTTGTTGCTCCTGTAGGGACAGAGCAGGAGCTCCTTGCTTCTCTCCTTTCCTCCCACAAGCTTCATCTGCGTCTTTTTCCCATCTCCATCTATCTCAGGGACCTGCTGAAATCCCACCCTTCGTGCCAGGGGCTCTCCACATCCCTCTTCCCCCATAGAAGGGTCCCTCATTATCTCTGTTGCCAGGAGCTGCGTACCCTCACATTCTGCCTTTCTTCCATGTCGGGAGCTCTGTGTGACACCCTTCCCCTTACCCTGCGTGCAAAGCTTTCTCTGTGCTAGGGGCTCTGGGTTCATTCTCTTGCCACATGCCTCCCTGTGTCCCCCCACTGTCCTAACCTCTCTTTTTTCCCATTCAGAGCTGTAGGTTATGGGATATGGGCAGTACTGGAAATGGGGTCATAATACTGTGCTGTTAATTAACTATGCTGTTAATTTCTGCTGTCAGTTGGCCCTTTCATCCGCAGAAAAATCTCCCAGCCCAGACTCTCTTCTCCCCCTACCTTCCTGTTTGGTTTTTCATACTTTTGCCCAAATCAATAGACTTCAGCCTGTTAATGCTTACAATAGGGCTGTCCAACTTCAGTGTGGCCAGTGGCCATGCACTGCTGAAGTTGCGAGCCCTGGACTAAATACTGTGCAGGCTCCATGGGGGCCGTGCGGGCTCCGTGGGACCCCCACCAAGTGCAGCCCCCCTGCAGGTACCAGTGTGTGGGTGAACTTCCTATTGCATCACCACTGCACAAGCAGGGACACCCCCCCTCCATTTCATACAAGTCCTCCTTCTGCTACCACCACGCAGGTGGTCAAGTTGGGATGACTGTAGCTTAGAACATTCCCTGAAATTTTGGAGTGGATTCAATGCATTATTCAGAATTAATTGCATTGCATTAAAGCAGAGACTTAATGTCAAGCAGTGTCAGGGTCTCGCCGTTGCCACCAGTAACACTCCAAACAGTAAATGGGGACCAGTTCAACTGAGGCTTCTTCCAGTCTGTTTGGGAGGAGGCGGAAAAAACTTAAGGTTTATAAAGCCTTTAGGTGAGGTTGTAAGGGCAGGATCTGGAATCCTTTCCCTACTTCTTGTGGGGAACTTGGATTCACCTTATTTCTCCTTGGTCACTTCCCCAACTATAAAATGAGGATTGTGCTTTCTATACATGAAGTGTGTATTCAGGACAAGTTCTTGGACCCTCAGATACTTTGCTGATGAGGTCCATGGAAGTAAATTAGTCAGTCTTTAAATATTGCAGAAAGCCTAGGCCTGATGCTGTCAAGCTGGTGTTTAGCGCTCCATTTAGTGGTATTGGAATTGTTTGTTCACTCTCCAGCAATCACTAGGTGCATCTACACTTGCAATTAATGCTATTTGGCTTTATTGTGCTGTATATTTACCACTCAGTAAACTATTTTACTGTGCAGTAAGTGCCTGCATATGTGGACAGTGACACTTTACTGTGCAGTAGACTAATCAACTGTGTAGTAAGGCATCTGTGTAGTAAGGCATCTCATGTAGACACAGCCACTGATGACTTAACATGCGGTTGCACTTGCTCTTGATCATTTACTCTGATCCATCACTGTTGTTGGAAAGGACAGGCCTAACAGTTGTACTGATGCATGTTCCTGCTCCGTACTAGGAAGAGAGATGGGTGCACGAGTATCCACAGACATCTGCTGCTTATTTTTATCACCTAGAATATTTACATCAATGTTTGTGAATGCCTGTTAAAAATTATAACAAACCTTCCACCAGTGCGTACATGTAACACTTCTAGACACATCTGAATGCCCAAATATTTATTTGTGAGGTGCTAAACAGAAGGATGCATCTTTATCCTTTTCCTTGCTGCCTTCGCCATGCAGAGTAAACAGCTTACTCTGTATCATCCTGCTCCATCTGCTTTATAGGTTTGTATTTACACCTTAGTCTAAACTTTAGTCAGCTGTAAATAATCTCTCTTGAAGAAGAGCTGCGAATTTGAAGAGGGAATTATGAGGACAGGCAGTGGGGCTGGGACAGACTGGGGTTTCATGTTTTATCCAGGCTTCAACTATTATATTTCTTCTTTCTCTTTGCAGGGTAGAAGGATTGATGGACTCGTTCTCTCAGGGATTTGAAAGGTCTTACACTGTCAATAGCAGCGTTTTACATGGTATTGAACCACGGCTAAAGGATTTCCACCAGCTTCTCCTCAATCCCCCCAAGGTAAAGCATTTCAGCCTTTCTAGATGCTAAGCGGCTAATGATTAGCATTTGAGGTTTCCTTCCCTTTCTGTGTAACATCACTTCCTTCCTGGAGGTTTCCAGTTTTCTTCACCTGAAAGTATTGTGTAATGAAACAGACTCCTTACAATAAATTGAGATCTGATTTGAATTCTTAGAAGGGGATTCAGAGTTGAGGTTGGCACTTCAGACACCTAGGAACAAAGCAGGGGGAGATGGTACTTGAGGCACTGGGTTTGAGTAGGAAATGATAGGGTGATCTGTCGTGACTGGAGTTTGGAGGCTTGCACCATGAGAAACTGGATGTTTCAGTGTTGGAATTTGTGGGTGGTCCTTGCTTTACACATGTGTACTCTTAGTCCTGAGAGAGAGGTATCTTATCTGACGGCCACACTATATGAAAGACAGAATTTGTGTCTTTCATGAGCCCTTTTAAAATTAAGTTCTTATTTATACCTCTTTGACTGTATTTGAGAAATCAGGTATAAAAACACTGTCCCAAGTTTTTTGCTACCTTTTAAACGGCTCCTTACTTCATTTACTGTCTAGCTCCAGGCCAGAAAGGGAGTGTGGTTTAAGTAATCAAATAGTTGCCTTTTTAGAAGCGATTCACGTGAGGAGGTGAACTGGCCAGATAACATCAGACTAAACGCCATGTTCAGTAAGGCCATTTTGACCTGTGTTCAGATGGATCTAACATCTGTTTCCTCTTCTGTTTGTGGTAGAAAACATCAATCCTAACTACTATTGGTGTCTTGGAGGAGCCACTGGGGAATGCTCGCCTTCATGGAGCTCGACTGATAGCTGCTCTGCTCCACACAAACACTCCCAGTATTAATCGGGAACTATGCAGGCTCAATACCATGGACTTATTACTTGTGAGTAACATGGTGTGATGTACTGTGGAGGAAGATGTCGTTTTAAGCTGAAAACATGGCCACTTTCTTTTTTGATCTGTTACATTACTGGAACAGTTAATATCTAAATCCCAAAGTCTGTTTCAATGCATTAAGCAAGTACAATTATATGATAAAGTCTATTTTGAGAATAAATATTCTTACTTTCAGGAGATTACAGAAGTAATTAAGGTGCTGACACAAAGGTATGCATCTCATTTGAGGGTGTGTGCTATGTGAGAAAGTCCCATATGCTTTGTAACCTGGGATGTGTGGCGGGTGCAGAGATTCCACCTCAGGAAAACGGCTGGGTATTCGTATCCCACCACTATTTCCACCACGTGAGGCGGGCCAGTAGGGAGCGCTCCTGCGTTGAGCTGCCGACCTCCCTGCGCCCAACCACCTTCCAGGCTCCGAATGCCTCCCTAGGGGCGCCTTATGTCTGGCCGACCCCTCTCCCGGAGCACACTCACTAGTCTGGGGGTAACGTGCCGCCACCACCCCGAGAGTGGACTGTCTCGGCCCTGTATCCTTGGGGAAACACAGGCCTAATAGTCCTACGGGTACTCGACCCAATACAGGCACTTGGGGTACTTCCCCAAGTCCGGGGGCAAAAAGGAAAGTCTCCCCTAGTCCGCAGACCTAAAGGGTCTCTTAGGCATAATTTAGACCCACCCCTCAATAAGTCTCCCACACCAGTCAAAAAGGAGAACTTTATTGATTACAAGGGGTAGGGTAAACTAGGGTACAGGATTGAGCAATATCTTAGAAATCCTAAAGAGCAAACAGTCTGGCTGTGGTAGCCTTTTGATTA